GACAATGAACACAGTTCTGCACAAAATATGAGTATAAGTTAACATAGTTGCATACCTTTTATCTTTTGCTCGTTTCTCCTCTTCTTCTTTTCTTTTTTGCCAATTTCCCACACAGTGATATGATAGAACAGATAGATAATAGAAAACCGCTTTGCGGCGCAGAGGATTTATTTTTTTTTAAGTGCTTGTGCCCGGCTGCCCGCTTTGCCCATGCCCAAAACCGCTACTGATCAGAGTAGCAATAAAAAAACATCTGACTAAAACTTGTAGAGTCTGATGCAGAACCAAAACATATGAGCCAGTGTTCCATCAGATCGTCTAAATTTAATACAAAGTGGGGATAAGGGCAGAATGAACGTGATTTAACATTTACATAATGGAGTCTATGTATGAAATTACTCTGAATCTAGCTGTGAAGAATCAAATGCATGTTTGTAAGAAGTGTAGGCTAAAATGGAAGTGTTTGCTAACTTGAATGTTTTTATTTGATACCATACCTTTTAATGAGATTTTGGCAGCTTTAGACAAAAAAAAGGTATGTTCTGATATGAATAAAAAAACTTAGGAAAAGTCACCATTTCTATGGCATTAATTTGACAGTGGGACTGCTAACATTCTGACTTGTATTTGTGTTGTAAAACCAGAAACAGGGTCTGTAACTGTGGAGCTTAAAGAAGGTTTAATCTTATAAATAGCACTACTGGTTTTTGCATCTCTCAGCTGTTGTTCGAGCAGGGGGCCATGTTTATCTCCCAATTCGAACTTTTAGAAGCAAAGTGATAACTTCCTTATAAAGAATATTGTTATATTCATGTTTTAGTTTTGCAATATCCCTTAGTGCAGATGAAGCCTCACTATTCCTGTTTTTCAAGCAAAGTACGCTGCTGATCTGTTTCTAATAACCTATTTTTCCTTTGATCGGCATTTTTGTTGAATCCAAAATGTCCTCCGTGTCATTAAAAGCAACATAACCCATAATAAAAGTTATTTTTTCATTCTTCACACAATACTTTTGTAACTTTCCATGCAATCCAGTGGATCACTATAAATGCTTTTGAGCAAAAATAAGTGTGCACTTTTATTCCCATTATTTCTGGAAGACCTTTCATCCGGCATTTGTGTCTTTCAGGATCTGCTATAAACACTTTCACCCTCAGACCTGACAACAAGTCATATGACCTAATCTGCTTCTATTGTAACCTGGCTTTAGATGATATGCTAGAAATCCACAAGCAAGTTGCCCAAGAATGTACAGAGAATACTCTGCTAAACAGACCATCAATCAATTCATGTTGTTCTCCTCTGCCACATAGCTCTCACTTGATACAGAAATCAATGAGCTCATTGGGAAGGTCTCAAACACTTTTGCCAATTCTACCAATAAGTCTGTGTAACATACAAAACATTAACACCAAATCTGAGTTTAGTCAGTTGGGCAGCAAGAAGAAAACATCTGGTTGCCCACACCTTAGGTTTAATCATGTCTGCTGCTAACACAATCTGAACTGTCACTATATCTTTGAATGAACTTATAGAGGGCAAGATCCACTGTCAGTGATCCCTTGCATCAAGTGCAAAAAAAGCTGGCAAAGAAAGGATGTGGATGTACAGTAGAAAAGCTTCTCAATACAAATCTAAAGTACCATCCAACCTCTAGTGAAGCTGGACAGGCCTACAGCTACTATAAACATCTACGCCTTCTCCATTTTCTGTCATATATAATATTACAATGTCCGATGATCATATGAATATTAAGTTTCCAACAGTTTTTTTTCTACTTTTAAGCTAGTCAGCTCATCGCAGATTTCTTTATATGGTCTGCACAGCATGCAAATTACAGGGACCCGCCTATCCACCCTCGCAGTCCAAGTTATTCTATCACTCTGCTCAGGACTAGGGCCTACTTGTCTTTTGGAGATTGTTCACTATGTCTTGAAAAAAGGGCTTGTGAAGGAAAGTAACATTTTGGCTGGTTGTCCCTCTGATGTCCTCCTGCTGCTCTGCCTCAATTTTCTGTCATTTATATAGTTTCTTGATGTACAGATAGCTTTACTTGTCGCTAAAGTAACTCCTACTCTAATGGATTGCTTCAGATTTTGGTCTCAGAATAAAAAAAAGGAGCTGTAAATGAGCATAATAAGTCCCCTTTAAGAGCAATCAGTCAGAAAACTCTACCCTACTCAAACTGACTGGTCCACTCAAGTGTGCACATTTACAGGCAAACCAATCATCATCCTACAATGTCAAGCAGTTAAATGACACAGTCTCACCTGTGCTTAGCTCTCTATCAGGCTGCTATTTCTGCTGCTGTTCTGTCATGCAAGTCCTAATGCTTTATACAGCCACTTTCTTCACAGCTCCACCTGCTATGTTCTGCTTTATGTACCACAGGGGGATTATGCACTCATGGTCAAAGTGTAGTAAAGTGCAGCAGTTAGGCATAAAAGCAGATTTTGCC